ATCGAGAATAGGGGAAGTTATGGTCCGAGAGTAAGTCATGTGATCTTTGGCCGAGTCACACCTCATGATTAGTAAGCTTGGATAGTCCAGTCACACGAATGGAGCCCTATTCAGTGTTATAGCCCATGGTTTCAGTCTAAAAAAATAAAGGGGATATAAGGTTGGTTGATCATTGCCAAGATAAGTATATGACGTGTCACACGTGTTGAGTTGTGATAAGTTATGTCAATAAGGGGTCATGTCACATTATTTAAGAATATGACGACAATGTACCTAGTATATGTAAGATAAAGATGTTATTAAATGAGAAATGATGGGTTATGATATGTGTGAGTATGTTTTAAGTGCTTGGCTTCATAAGCATGTGCTTATATTTATAATTGATATATAATTGTATAGGGTAGGTTTTACCTTGGTTACTAGTAGCTAGACTCACCCCTTTCATTTAACACTTTTCAGGCTCTAGCTCTAGTGCAAAGAAGGAGAAGGCTCAAGAGGCTAGGAATTAGCATATTCCTTTTTGTATGCCTCTAGCTTAGTTTATTTTGTGTAATAGAATATGTTTTTCAATTCTAGGTTGCATGTCATCTCACTTGCACAATTTTATTGTTGTAAATGTCTGATTTGTATTTTGAACCTTGAGTATCTTGTGTATGTTGAGATATATTTGTTTATAAGGCTAAAATATTAGTGCAAGTGTAGAAATGGATATTTGAACATGTTTTGATTAATTTGGGTGCAATGCAATGGAGAATTTGCCTCCCCCTCTGTTTTTGTAAAAAAAAAGGTTGAGGAGTGAATTTTGGTTATACTGTGGTTTAAGTTTATGTGACGTGTTATACTGATAGTCCTGAGTCTAATGGACATGGTCCAAGTGTTAGGAAAGGCTGTTGATACTTGTTAAGGGTTTTGGACACCCTTTTTATGTGAAAGTTGTGAAAAGTAATCAAAATGTGTTTTGATATCTAACTTCTTAGTGTGACTTGTTTTGAAAGTAAATCCATGCCACTAGCTAGTTCATATTAATAGCTTTTCGTAGACACCTAGATCATGTCATTCAAACATCAGATGGAGAATTGACATGCATCAGAAATTTTTCGATTCTACTGTCAAATGATAGCAAAATCTGCTGAATTTTCATGTAACATGCCATGGTGCAGAGTGCACGAGCCACGGTGCATTGCCCTGTTTCACAACATATGAATTGTTTTTCAATTGTTTTCATTCTTTTTCACTCCTTAAGATATCCCATGCTTCTGAGACTTGTTTTTACTTTGATATAAGGGACTTTGATTGATTTAAACTCCTTGTTATTAAGAAAACTTAGAATTCCTTGAATTTAGACTAAAACTTGGTAATCATTCGTAAATGTTAATGTAACATCTAGAAAATTTTAACCCTGATTTATTAACCTAATGAGGGTAGTTAGTGAGTTAATGAGATGTGTGGCTAAAGGGGCTTAACTTGGCATAATTGATGTAATTTCAGCCCTAAAAGTGGGTCCGAATCGATAGCAAGCCACCCGAGTAAGGAAAGATGATGAAAAAGTGAAGAATTATTTTTTGTGCCACACAACGCGATGCGTGGTTGGTCTACCACGAAGCACAAAGACAATTTAAACGTAACGGGCTCCTCTGTGCCATGTGCCGTGACAGAAGACAGCGTGTGCCACAGTGCACGGCTAAAAATTAGATAAATCAGTTCATGAACTGCATGAAAATAGAATAGAAAAATAGGAAGAAAATGAAGAGCTCGATTTTGGCTCTACTAAGGCATGACATTTGGTTTTATTGTTGATAGATTGAAACTTCTAAAAACCTAAGGTAAGATTACAGTGTCTTTTTCTTCCTTTCTCTCCTTATTTGTAATGATTTATGGTAGGGTTTGAGTTGGGAGATGGATTTTTGGTCCATAGGAGTATTGGTTCAATTCCATTGGTTAAAATAAGTAAAATGGGAGTTGTTTAATATATTGGAACATCACATTGATGATTTTGGAAGTGTTTGGTCTATAAGAGCATTTAATATCCAAAAACTAATATTTATGAGGTAGTTGTGAGAGGTTAATGTACATTAATGATGGTTTGAATCATTATTAATGATAATGTGCATTTATGAAATTTAATGAGCCCATTGGATATGATTGGGTAGTGATTATGAGTTGATTAAAATAGAGTGTGTGGAGTTTTATGTTAATGAAACTTTAAGAGTTAGACAATGATGATATTCTTGTGGTATGGATGTAGAGAGATTTGTTTTTGATACCATTCGAGCTTGTTAAAGCTTTAGAAAGTTGATATAGTAAAGGATAAACTTTTAACCTTTCAAAAGTTTAAGGTAATTGGGAGAAACTTAATTTTTATAGTTGAATGTTAATTGGGTTTGTGAAATATAATTTATGAGTTAAATTGATGATGCATGTTAGTAAGTGCTTGATTTGTGAAATGGTTTTTGAGAAAGAAAACCTTGATTCTACCACCCTTGATGTTTTGCAAAATTGATTGTGATTTATTATTATAGGTGGAGAATTATGTTATATTATGTGTTAAATTGTGGAATATTAAGTTATGTGAGTTCATGTATTATGAATCATTTATCAAAATGCATATTATGTAAAACATGTGCATGGCGTGATCATTGGTGGGAGTTTGCCTAAGGAGAGGAGTAGATTGGTTAAAATCCACATAATATTGGTAATGACCGTTGAAATTAAGGACTAGCCTTAGCACCGACTGTTAGAATCAGGAGATAACCCTTGTCCCATGATTGTTTTGGGACTATCCCACTTATTCTATGAAAGACTCAAACCTAACTAGTCTCCATCAGTTCATGAAGAGGCTAGATTAGGGGTACGACACCACATGATTGTTAGTATTGGGGGAAACTAAATTACATAACTGAGTGAGTTCACTCTAGCCCAGTAGCTCCTCACAAGTGGAAGGTTGGGTTAGTCCGTAAAGGACATAGCCACAAGATAGCCACCGGTTTCATGTTGGAGGTAATAGAAGGATATAAGGTTGGCATATGATCGTGCATATAAGTCTGACCGCATGGTTGTTAGTTTTGTCGTTTGGCACATGTTAAGGGTGCATGGTTGTTATTTTTACAACCCTGAGTTATGTTTTTGCAAAATAACATGATATAGTATTTTGTGGCAAGCCTAATCACATGGTTGTTAGTTTTATGAATCGTGGCCTAGTGTTATGTGATATATGTGTTTGTTTACTTAATTGCATCTATTTACAATTAATATGCAACTGTATGGGCTAAGTGACACTTAGTTACTAAATGGTTGTACTCACCCCTCAATTCTCAATATTTTCAGGACCTAGTTCATCGAATCTGAGTTGGGGAAAACATACAGAGGCTCAGGATTTGTGGAATAATCCTTTATATGCCTCTCTTTTGCTACTTACATGTGTATTTGTTAATGTAATTGCCAACTAGGATTAATTAACATGATTTGTGCACTACTTGCATGATTTTGTATATAACTAGTGTATTTTGTGCCTTGGGTTAGTGAGTTTTTGGTTGTGAAGTTGTGGATAGAGCCAAAATACTTGTGCAAGTAGAAATATTTGTATTTTGAGAAATTTGGAATGAAATAGTTGATTTTGTGCAATTTTTCCTTCCCCTTATTGTTTTGTGAAAATCGAGGTTGAATGGTGATTTTATGAGATATACGTTTTTGATTGTGTGTGGTGTGTTGCATGAGTCCACAAAAGTCCATTAAATGTGGTCGAAGGGTTGGTGTAAGTTATTAACACGTGTGGTTGAGTTGAGCCATCTCATTTGGGAAATTTTGTGACAATGTGGTTAAAATGAATTTTGATGTCCAACTTTTTATAAAAAATAAGTTTAAATGTAAAACCTGTATCATTAGCTAGAGTTAGGAGAAAGCTCTATATAGACACTAAAACCACCTCAAATAGACGTCGGACGGAGATGTGGGACACGTTGAAAGTTCACTTCTCGTGCTGTCAAATTAAAGCACTGATCTGTCAAATTTCATGTAATGCGCCGCGGTGCATGGCACAGAAAAGACATGCCACAGTGCACCAGCCGTAAGATGCAGCGCACATGTCATTTTTTGTATTAAAATTTGAGCTTGATTGTCAGCATACTTGTGTATTCATTCAAATAATAAATAAGCTTTTTTTGATTTAGTTTTTCAACATTTTCATTTTCTGTGAAAAACTTTTTCATATTTTCATTTGAATTTACATGAAGGAGTCTTTCCTTTTTCTTTTTAAAGAATTATCTTAATATATTGTTTTCACTTTTTTTCAGTAGAAAATTATAGTTTTTGTTTTTTATCTCTTAAATTTAAGAAAAAATGATAATAAAATCTCTTCAAATTATGTAAAATAATAATTTGATCCCTCAAAATATTATAATACCAATGAAGTCCCTAGAGACCTCTTTATCGATAACTTTTTTAGAGAAAATATCATTTTACTTTTATTGATAAATTATAATTTTTATTCAATACTTACAATTTTTTGAAGAAAAATTATGATTCTTTAAACAAAAATTGTAAATAGAGTTTATTATTTTGAAAACTTATTTTTCAATAACAAAAATTACACTTGAGAAATTATAATTTTTTGTTTAACTTTTATAATTCATAGAACAAAAATTTTTATTCCTTAAAAAAAGTTATAATTATGACTTATTTTTTAATAACAGAAATTGCACTTAACAAATTATAATTTCTTATTTAACTATTTCAATTTACAGAATAAAAGTTATAATTCATTAAATAAAAATTATAATTAAGAATTTTTATTTTTAATAAAAATATAATAATTATTTTTTAAAAAATTATTAACAAAAAGTTTTTTATTAATATTATATATATTATGATGTTTTAAAAGATTAAATTATAGTTTATATTCATAAGTTTTATTGTCGTTTTCTCTTTTTTTTGGCTGAAATTTAAATTTAATTTTTAATTCCATTCCTTGAAAGTTGAAACGTACATTCAAAACGCAAATACACTCCTCTCTCTCTACCACAACGAAAATAGAAAAGGAAAAGGAGAAATCAAATCCTGTCATCGTCATCTCATTCCAATTCCTCAACTTCCCCATTTTCCTTCACCGAAAACTCCAACCTCTCGATCTGTCCGTCCTTGCTTTCCCCGAACGAAGCACAAAATAGATTCTTCAAATCTTGATCGGTCTGCCTCCACTGTTTTTTCTGGAAACGTTTTTTTATTCTCTCTTGGCAGATCACGATTCAAATATTGAAAGCCATTGTTCCGAAATGAGCAGCGGAGAGCTTCTTGGCGTCGAACCTGTCGAGCTCAAGTTCCCTTGTGAGTTACTTTCTTCTGGATCTCATTTTCTAGGGTTCGGTTATGGTATATTCGTCCATTTTAATTGTGCGTTTTGTTCGTTTTCTTTAGTTGAGCTGAAGAAGCAGATCTCGTGTTCTCTTCTATTGTCAAATAAGACGGATAACTATGTTGCTTTCAAGGTAATCTATCTATTCGTTTTGGTATTTACAATTACTTATCTTAGAAATTGATTTCTGACGAGGACGGTTAAATTGTAATTTTGGTTTCTGTTGGAAGCTGGCAGAGGAATAGGATCTGATGAGTTTGACCCAATATTGAGTATTGGCCAAGATACATTATTTACTCTTTCAGTTATTCCGTAACGTCGACAGAACAAAATATTTTCGTTACAGTTAAAAAGATTTTTTGTGATAAAACGCATTATTGGTTAACTCTTGCAAAATTTTAATGTTTGAGTCCATATTTGATCATGCTCAGGTGAAAACCACCAATCCAAAGAAGTATTGTGTTCGTCCAAACACTGGCATTGTCTTGCCACGATCTACGTGTGATGTTATAGGTATCAATGTGAATCTATTTAATTATGTCGTGTGTTTGTGCTTCATCTCCAATAAATATTGGTTGACATCTGGTCTTTATAAGTTACCATGCAAGCGCAAAAAGAAGCTCCACCTGATATGCAATGCAAAGACAAGTTTCTTCTTCAAAGTGTAAAAGCAAATGATGGTGCTACCGCAAAGGACATAACTGCAGAAATGGTATTGATTATACAACTTGCTAGATACTGATATTACCTCTAGAGTTTTATTCTTTTTTGTAAAATTACATGATATGTCATTGGGTTTGTCTAGTTTAACAAGGAGCCAGGGAATGCGGTTGAAGAATGCAAGTTGAGAGTGCTGTATGTTTCTCCACCTCAACCACCATCACCAGTTCCAGAAGGTTCCGAGGAAGGGTCATCACCTAGAGGTTCAGTATCGGAGAATGGAAATGTGAATGGTGCTGAATTCACAACAGTGGGTTCTTAACTTGTTAATGGTTAGGTGAATAAACCCCTCCCCAACCTAAAAGAATAAGAAGTAATAGATTATTTTTGTGTACTGCAGGTAACAAAAGCCTTATTTACTGAACGACCTGATGCTCAAGAAAAATCTGCAGAGGTGAAAAAATAATTAGTTATTACTTATTGGTGTATTTGCTAATTGTTGATAAACATATTGATATTTTGGCAACACCTTTGACTAACAGTGGTATTACTTTTCAAATTTCAAATTAGTTTTTTCAGCGGAAAAAATATGAAACAAAGTTGAACTTCCTTCTTTGGTGATACTACTATTTCATCAATTTGCATTGGCTTCAATCTTTATATGGCTTTGAGTGCTTTCTTTTTTATGTTCTAAATCAGTGGTTTTCCATAGCTTTAGGATGTGTTCATAGTTGTTTGTTTTCTAGTGATAACCAATTATCTTAGGTGCAAAATCGGGATGCACCAATTCTTATTTCCATCTGTTATTGCAACTTGTTATCACAGCATCTTTTTTCATAAATTTACTGGCAAGCATCTTGTTTCGTGTTCAAAATGTCAGGCTTAGCAATGAATGTTATTACTACACAGTTCATCTCTGCTATAAAAGGTCTGTGGGATACACCCCTAAAGAGGTTTTTTTAGTTCCCTCAGACTCCCCTCGATTACTGGATCAGTGATTTTAGCTGAAGTACATAAGGGTCTAACGGCTCCCTTTTTTACTTGATTAAAGCTGAAGGATAATTTAATGCTTTCAAGAGCCAACTATTGGTGTTGTCTGACTTTCCATTCGTCGGATCAGTTTTTTCTTTTAGTTGGTGTCAGGCATATTTAACTTTCTGAGTTTGTACCATGTGGCAACTATATTTTAGTGATAATTGCTCTTGTTGCAGGCAAATGCCCTCATCTCAAGGTTGACTGAGGAAAAGAATAATGCAGTTCAACTAAATTACAAGCTTCGTCAGGAATTGGTGAGGATTTGAAAAAATATATCTTGTTTTCTGATATATTCTATCCATTTATGTGTCTGTTATTTTTGGTGAAGGAATGCTAAATTTTTATTATGAGTTCCCATGACTCTAACCCTCTGATTGGTTTATGAGGAATGGAGGGGAGGGAAAATTTTTATGAGTTAGATTTTTTTAAAAGAAGAAGCGGGGTTATGAAATTTTAATTGAGAGAAGATATGAGAAAAATTTATTAAAAACTTTCAACCCTACTTTTTCATTTTTTTTGAAAAAAAAAAATCAAACCCTTTAAAATTCTCCACTGCCCTCCATTCCTTTTGAACAAAACAAAATAAGGATTATCCGTAGCCCATGACTGAGCCTATTTGATAGATTTCACTTTTTTATTTTTTGGGAATGAAAAGGGGAAGCCATATTCTATTAATCAGAATGTCTTACAATTCCTTCCCTATCATCCTAAACCACCTTACAAACACACGGGGGTTGTGTGATCATGGGTACACAAATCAACACCATTAGCATGCCTCAACTTAGCTTTTAGTCTATGAGCACATTCAGTTGCTTCTCTATGAGCAAAATTAACATAACAGACAGAATCATAAAAAAGCAACATTTGGCTTTTTCAATCGTGTCCCGAAAGGATGATTATCAATTCTGGTGTCAAGCAGCAGCTGTAAGAGTTGATAGATTTTACTGAGATGCATTTGTTTCAAATTAAATTGGATTTGATCGTCTTGTTTCTGATTTTCTTTTTTCATCTTTTTCTTTGAGTTCTCCGTTTTGGCTTTACCAAAATCACATGTTGACACAAATGGGGCAGTATGTGCCATGAAAGTATTCTTTTTGGCATTTTTCCATTCCAAAGCGAATCTAAATTGGTATATGCTCATTCCTCCCATTTGTGAGGTAAGTTAGCTTGATTTTTACGCATGTACTCTGTTACTTGTTGAAGAAACCTTCAGAGGGACTTATTTTTTTATATATAAAATTTAGAATAAATTGCGGGTATTTAATGAGGAAGCTCTTAAATCTTAACATGCTGTCCATCTTTTATGAGGACCTAAGAATGTATTTTCCCCCTGCTCCATGGATTATTGTTCAACTTTGTTTTATTTACATTCTGGAAGATGTCGTTAAAAAGATATATTTACTTTTAACTGGAGACATAATTTGATTATTGTAGGAGTTGCTGAAGCACGAAGGGAACAAAAACCGTGGTGGCGTCTCAATTCTGTTAGTCATCATAATCGGCTTACTCGGCTTAATTATGGGGTATATCATGAAGACATAAAACACGTCAATTTAATGGTTCACCGTACCTTTTGATCTTAGTCTCGTTATCGTTCCTGGCAATTCAAGAAATGACGAGAAAGGGGAAACAAAAATTTAGCAAGTGATGTTTCTTTCTTTTTATTTCCCTGTTTTTTTTCCCTTTAAAATTTTATTTCAGTCGATAACATCTTGGATGTAAAAAAAACTTTAGGAAAACTCATGGTGTCATGGGTCTTTGGTTGTTAGGGGACCATATTATATTGTGGACTGACTCGTACTTCGATGACATGCAATTCTTTTTTGTAATTCAAGAGAGGTGCCTTGCTTTTCTTATGTGATAAATGATTTTGGTCTAATTTCAGTTAAAGACCACAATAGAGATTTTAATTATTGGTGGGTTCAAAAAAAAATTGAAATTTTAGTTAATTTTAAAGGAAAAAAGTTAAGAATTTTTATGGTAAAAAGACAAAAACATCATTCACTTGTTATGTAAAATTATGAGTTAATTTTTTTAATCTGTTTGTTAATTTATGATTGAGTTGCAAATTATGAGTTAATGTGTTAATTATACAAGAGTTGATATTAGTTGTTTAATTATAAACAGTAATATTAATTGTTAAATTGTAAACTTATTAATTTACTAACATTAGTTGTAAATTATTAACAAATTTTGTAATATTAATTATAAATTATTGATAAGTTTTAAAATTTATAACTAATGTTAATAAATTATCAAATAAAATTAACAAATTAACAATGTATGTTATTGATTGTTTAATAAATAAATGTAATTTATAAATAATATTAGTAAATTAATAAATGCAGTAAAAAAATTAATAATTAATGATGTTGTATAATAAATAAAAGTATTTTGATATTTTCACTGTCAAAATTAATTTGACCCATCAGTAATTTAAGTTTCTACTGTGATTCTTTACTAAAATTCTTCCAATGAATTGACGCTTCTGGAAATCCATCCATAGCCACCAATATCATCCCAAGAGTATTGGTGATATGTCTCAACAGTATCCAGCAAATGTTGGACTAACGTACAGTTTTTTCTCACCGGTTTCACTCCTCTTTGGCTTTTATAACGCTGTTCAATTTCCCAGTTAGCTACGTATAAGATGATTTCCTTTATGCATCTTTTTTTTTTTCCGAACATCATTTGAGAACACCAACAAAGGTTGGTTTAGTTAGTATTAAGTATTTAGTTTATTCTTCGCAACATCATGGACTTCAATTTTATTGTCAGTATGAGAATTTTATTGAAGGTATGAGAATTTTATTGAAGGGTGATTTATAAATATATCCGTAAGTTTGGATGTATATTATTGCCCTGATAAGTTTGGTGGAGGTAACTCACCTGAACCTTTTTATTTATTAAGAAAAAAACAATAATTTGAGAAACGCTGAAATTGACGGTGGAAGGGTCAAAGATTGCATTTCTATGAACCAAGACGGAAATCTCTGTCCTATCAAAACTGAGGCCCCACTTCTTGGATGCCATGCCAGTTTTTTTTGCTTGTTTATGGAGGGAAACGACAGTACAATCTCGGAATCTGCGAGGTTAAGCCCAACCCAATCATGCAAAACAGGCTGGAATTAATTAAGATTCTCTTAAAAAAAAAAAAAAACATTGTGAACAACTGAACATAGTCTAAATCCACGTCATTCGGTGGTTCGGTTAGATGAATAAGATAAGCATTAGGTTGAGTCCATGAATCAAACAATCTTTCTTAGTAACTTTAAATCTTGTATCTCACGCATTGAACTACGGTCAAATCATCTGGAAAAGATTGCCTACCTGATCCCAAGCATATTAACGATGAAGCCAAAAAAGTTACATGGACTGATGAGTGGATTATCTTTTATATAATCATGGCTGTCGTCTCCATTGATACAATCTACTCTGTCCAGGCTGTAAAAACGACACATATATTCTGTAATATCAAGTTAAAATATTGTCAACAGTCAATTGTTCAAACAACAATACTACCTCCCTTTTTCAAAAGGAGATCCTAGTTTGAATCTAATATTGATATGGTTATAGTACATGTGTGAATATATGTGTTTTTTTTTTAATGCAAAAGGGTTAGATTAGGGATAAAAAAAATTTAAAAAAATAATGTAAAACATGGAATTTATTAATAATTTGTATTACATTGGCTTAAAATAATTTGTTATAAAAAATAAGTATGAGATATATACAATGTGACATATTGGGGGTGTAATAGTAGCAAGAGGCAAATTTGGGTTGGTGTTTTGTAGTGCTAGTGAGCTCCATCCAACATAGAGAGAGATAAGGAATGGTTCGAAATTCAGAAGAGGGGTTATGATGAGAAATTGAAAAGGATTTCAACCTGTGAGGCAAAGAAGGGCAAGTGCCGAGATGGTCCTTCCTTGGTTTTTTGTGTTGACGAGGGAGACCCACCAGAGAGGCATGAGATCATCAATCAGATCTAATGACAATGAGGACCGTACCAAATGGAGGGGAGCACTCACAGTCACAGTCACAGTCACTAACTGACACACAGCCGAAAGTGAAGCCCTCAACGTCCCATCCCATTCCCACACCGCCCTACACGCCACTTTGCTGACATGTCTCCAAATTTAATGGGAAATTTCACTCAAGGATTCATACGAAATTTTTTTAAAATTTATAATAAAAATAATAAAATTAACTTGATTTCATATATTATATAAACTTTTTGTTTGTTCATATATCATATATTATTTATTTTTTTACTGCATTTATTTATAATTTTAATTTTACTTGATTTCATTTCAAGTATTTTATGATAAAATGATTTATTCATCTTCATACTATGTTGTTCATTTACTTACAGAATATTATTCACTTTCATATTTCATTTGTTTATGGCCCTGGAATAAAATTAAGTGAAAACAAGATTATAAATAAGTGAAATAGGGAAACAAATAATATTTTATAAGTAAATGAATAACATACAGTATGAGAACAAATAAGTTATTTATGTTGTTATTTAAATGAGGATAATTTTATTCCATCTCTTGGAAATTTCCAGTTCCAGCTATCATAGCAATAATATTGAAATTCATGGTAGCTCAATAAGTAGAATTAGTAAATTGTTAAATTGATGAATGCATCATTTAATAAAATACTTTGTTAACAACTACTCCCTCCATTTAAAAATATAAAACATTTTTAATTAAATTTCACTCCCTAATAAAGTTATTACCTACTTTTAAATTAACCTTATTTTTTTATATTTACCCATATTAAACACCTTATAATACATATAAATTCATTATCAATAGGGACACTTTTAGAAAAAAGACAATTATTACATTTTAAAAGATTAAAAATATTTTATATTTTTAAATATCTAACTTTTTAAAAAATACCTTACATTTTTTTAATAGAAAGAATAATATAATTATAATTCAGCTGTAATTTTTATCATTAATATTGAACTTTGATTAGTTTCATAATCGATCCAATTTTTAGTATCGAGTGATTTAATTGGTTGAATTAATAAATTATTAAATTAACATCTTGACTAAATTAATAAAATACTTTGTTGATGGCCGCTCTTACTATAATTTAATTATAATTTTAATTATTAATTCTTAAATCAACGTCATTACCAATATAATAATATTTGGTATGTTGGATTTTTCGGTGCTTTATAACAAGCACTTCCTTTTCAACATAATCACTACTGGTGAAACGTCTAGCCTGGGCAAAAACAAAATGTTGTGTTCAAGAATATGTTGATTTTTTTTTTTTTTTTGAATACAAGGATACAAAAAAAGTGTGTAAAAGAAGAATAAAATCAGGTTAGGTTAGATTTTATAAGAGATCTTTATCCTGAAGGCAAATAATTATAAATAATAAGATTAAGATTATTTCAAAATGTAAGGTGAGCGAGCATGTCCGTATATCTGTTTGCTTTCCTGAATGTGTGGTTGAAGGTAATGAAATACGTTGATTTTAGTCAATGCCAAACAATAACAAAGTTTATCTTAGGGTTATATAAATTATATCATGCTATTACACCTATTAGCCTAAATTTTTAAAAATATTGTTGACCAATAAGTATTGTGTAATAACTTTTATAAGAGTTTTAATTTTCATCTATCTATCTTTACTGAGCTTAGAATTATTTAATTTGTTTTACTCTCTTCATTGTAGCATCCCTTGATTTTCTTTATATATTCAATTCATTTTAAATAATTTTTTACTATCTTCTTCTTAACATATGCTTCACTAACTTTTTCTTGCATATGTTCATTATGGATTTTATGCTTTTATGTATACCCACACATTTATTTTAACATTCTCATCTTTGTTACTCTAACATTATCTTTTTGTTGTTCCTTTAAAACCTAATATTCATTGCCTTGTAACATACATAGTTGGCTTTAAGTTTAATAAAACTTTCCTTTAAACTTATTTGGCACCTTCTAATCATGATCAACTTTGATAGCATTTCTTCATTTAAACCACCTAACATATATTTTATGAATAACATCTCATCAATTTCACCATTATTTTAAATAATTACTCTCAAATATTTAAACTTTTTTACTAATGATATGATATACTCCTTTGATTCTATTTATAGGGTAGCAATAGAGTATTTATTTTGATTTTATTTTTAAGACACTTTAATAATTATTGTGTCTATATTTATCACTTTATCCCTATCAAATGTTAAGAAGGTTGTTAAATGTTATAGTATTTTATTTTTAAATTATGTATATTTAATAGGAGTAAAGATGAAGATTTGTTAAATTTTTAGACATAATTAATGAATTTTAATTTTTTTTAATTTTAGTAAAAATGTTAAAAGTGATTTATAATAGAACATAAGGAGTAATCTATCTAGTCCAAAATATAAGCATCTTTTAAAAATAATTTGTATGTCAATAAAATTTTTATTTTCATATATATATATATATATATATTTGACCCATAATTTCAATTTATTATAGACGAGAAGGTCATAAATTCTCAAATATAAGAATTTAGATCAACAAATATGAATGATAAAATGAAAAAAGAAAAAAATTACAAATACTAAATTATTTATATTTTAAACTAACACTAACTGGGAAAATGATGTTTATATGTTGGATAGTACTCCTTTCGATCTTCTTTATAAATTACATTTAAAAGATTTATGTAATTTTATTTATTAGTCATAATGCTATTTTTTAAATAATAATTAAAAAATATTTTTAAAATTATCTAAAAGCAACATAATATTACTTTTAAATTTATTATATAGAGATATATTTAAAATTTACATGTTTTTAATTTTTA